AATAAACGTATTCTCAATGTTTCCCAATAATTACTCAGAAATATTACTAAAAATGATTGGTAAGCACAAATATTAAAAATGATTAATTTTTTTTCAAACTAATGTTGAAATGTTTAATTATTTAGGTTTTATCATGAACAAAGAAGTTGATGTATCTGTTCTAAATGACTTAGCATTAGACATGCCACCAGTGTATACTGCACATTCACCTATTGGAAATGAACTGAAGATTACTAGCACAAGTTTATTCAAGTTATTCGAAAGTGCAGTAAGGAATTCTGAAAGAACTGATTTCAGCAATATTATTAGGGTTTACCATTTGGATAAACTATTTATGGAACTGAAAAATGCATGTTATAAAGTTAAACATCCAGATACAGATGATTTAGCTTTACCTTCTGTTGCTATGGCTACCGATAGTTTATCAAAAGATGTGTTAAGTACAATTAAAACAATTGGTTGTAATTTTCATGAAAAACTTGAACACATTCATGGTTGTAGTAACTATTTTGTATGTAAGTGGATAAACATTTTATCAGCTCACTGTTGTCGCTATATTGACATAGAACTTGTATCTGGTTGTCATTATGATTTTGATTTATCTAAAACAGAGAGTCCATTTGAAGAACGTTTTGATAAAATGTGTATTTCTAAATTTGCTGCGAATTATTCAGATGATGGGGAAATAAATAAACCAAACACTTTAGCAGCCAATAGTTTCCCAGCACTTGAAGGTAAATTAGCGACTGCTATTCAAAAACCAATATGGAATAAGCCAGAATACAAAGCAAATACAAATAGCAAAACTATTGAAAATAAAGAAGACAACTTTCCTCCCCTTGGTGATTCGAAAAGTATTCAAATAAATGCTCCTGTACCAGTAATAAACAGCTGGTCTAAGAATGCAAGTCGTAGCAGAGGTATTATTAGCCAAGTTCAAAGTAATAACCAAAACCAATTAAATGCAAACTCAAAGCAAACATCCAAAGGCAGAGGACTTTCTACTGATAGAAATAAGTAGTGTAGACATAATAGTAATTAAATCATTGATTACTAAATTTTTAAATATTAATTAATTAATTTCTGTCATTTAAAACTGGTTTTTTTTAATGCAATAAGAATTAGGAAACTCATGCATAGATATGTATTGAAATTTTACAAAAAAAAAAATGTATTAATATTAATAAACATTATTGCAAATCAATTGTCTAGTCTAATAAAAAGGCAAATTGTGTAGTAACATTATAACACTACCTGTATAAATATGAATTAAATTTTTAAATAAAAATATATTATTTCTAATCTGGGATGGAGGTTGGAGGTGGCCTCAGTGGTAACTTTGTTATGATGAGGTCTGAGGGCTGACTTCATAATGTAGTTCTAAAGACTAAGAAGACTGTTAATATTTTATAAATATGAGTATATACTATATAACACTAAAACAGTAATAATTTATACACAATACACCGCATTTTTACGCAACTGTAAATTTTAATTTGTATTCAAAAGAAATGTGTTTTCAGTTCCTCAATAATACAAAACAAAGTTAAAATCATGAAGCATTTGCTGTCCTCAGATCAAATATCTCTGAACAGGCCTGGCTAATTATGTGACTTGTTTTCAAAACCATTCTTGATTGTTTGGGTCAGGTTAAATATTTGTCCTGTATACAATTTTCCTGGATGGAAACCAGCTTGTTCTTTAATTAATACATTAACCGCAAAGAGTACTAAGCGATTAATCCGTATTCTTTCAAAAACCTTTGTATATATGCAAATTACCAAAATTAATTTGTATATGTGGCGCAAACTACAATATGTTATATTTTTAATAAAATTGTATAATACTATAGGCATAGACTATAGCTAATATTTCTAACTGCCGTATACACTCAATATTGAAAATATGTCACCTCTTTTCGCTTTCATTATAAATGTATAACTATATAGCTAATTTACAATATGACAATACTAATTATTGTATACAATCTACAGAGTAATAACTAAATTATAATTTAGTATTTCAACAAATATATTTTACTAAGTAGGTATACTAGGTACTTATTAAATTTAAACTAAAAAGTTACCATTTAAAGTAAATTTTAATACATCATTTAAGAGCTTTAGGATTATTGATAAAATAGTACCCATTCCCCATTTCCCAGCTACCACTCACCACTATACAGTATGTCCTAGAATTTCTGATTGAATAGCATAATATTCGATTTTTTTTTTTTTCAAAAATTATCAAAAAAAAATTTTAGGCACATAAAATTAAAACGTAATGAAAATTGCCCAAGTTAAACCTAATTATTATTTTGAATTTCTAAGAGTAATAGTTATGTTACCCATGCATACGGCATTAGCAAAATTCAATTTGCATATTAATTACTACAATCCTGCTGATTTTTAGGCCAAAATTAAAAATAATAATTAGCTCTAACTTGGGCGATTTTCATTAAATTTTAATGATTTTTTTTTTGAACTGTCTTAAAAAATACGATTAACAAAAGGCTATCTTGGAAATTTTAAAAACTTATTTGCCTAAAAAAAATGTTTGATAATTTTTGAATTTTTGAAAAAAAAAATCGAATATTATTCAATCAGAGTTTCTATACTTTGACTAAAAAAACTGCATTTAAATATATTGATTTTCCACGGAGATATTAAGGGTGTACGGGTCTTCTGGGACATAATGTATATTTGAAAATTTAGTATTTATAATTTATTATATTTATTTAATATTTTGAGTGGAAAACAATTAATATCCGGGGGGGGGGGGGTGTAAGACAAATTCTAATCACTCCACTGTTTGGATGTACCTATCAATCAAATAATCTAGATGTTTCATACAAACAGCTCTATAAGATACGTGTATGTTTGAAATTTAATATTTAGCATCAGAATATTGGGAAGGCATATTATTATTGATAAAAAAAATCAATAATTTTTTTATTTTAAAAACAGTAGTTTTGCCCATCTAAAATTGTCTTTAATAACCACTTTGAACCAGTTTAACTGGTTTATCGAATCAGACTAAATAAACTTATATTAGGTATGTAATATCATAATATAATATAAATCTTAAATCATTTCATATAGGTACAAATATACAATGTTATAAAACGCAAAGCAGTTATTTCATGATAATTATAAACCGATAAAATAATATTATCATTTATCGTAAATTCGAAACCATCACGATCACCGGATCACAACCAAATTATTATTTCCGTCTTGGGCACAGATGTCTGTATGATATAATACCAATTAATAATAATATTCTGTATTCACAATTCAGTATTCAACTTTGTATAGTCTTTATAGGTATATTAATTATTACTGTACAGTATAGAAATCTATGAACATGGGGTGACATTGCCGCGGAAACTTCAAAGTAGATAGATCAAACGGCATTTAGGAGGTTCAGGTTACCTACACTTTCGGTCTGTAACTACGGCCTGCGGTTATAGTAACATATTAACGATTAGCGATGAAATTTTTTTTATTTATTTATTCAAAAGCCACGTCCTGACCCAGTGGCGTGGGGGGGCATGGGGGGGAAGCGTCCATCATGGCTAAATTACTGGAAATGTTATTTATGAATAAAATATTGGTGATATTATTTGAAACATTAGGGCGGCTATGTAAACTTACTTTAACAAGATACACTCTAATACCGTTGATTTGTAAAAGTACTGCTGCTGCGAGAGCAGGAACGTCCACAATAATTTAAAAGAACGGTCGAGTGTACTAAAGGCACTCGCAGACCAACTCACGGGACCCCCAACCCTCCTTTGATCGCGGCTATGCTCCTAACACAATTGTTTTTTAACCTAAATTATTAATTTCTTTATTTTTTAATATCCCAGCTAATTCTTAGTCTACCGGACAGTCTGGACTATTATAAATTAAATGAAATAATAAATTAAATGTTTTGCCAACCGACAAATGGCGGCCGTCCACAGCTGATCTTTACTTAAAACAATTGTTCCTTATCTAGTATAAACCACAGATATAAAATATTATAGTATTTTATATCTGTGGTATAAACATAGTATAGTAATCTGTGATCGTGGTACACACTATAGTGTATAGACGTATAGTACACTACACACTATAACACGTTCGACGTTCCACGTCGTCCGTAATCCGTATAGACATTAGACGTATGACAAATTAATGAAAATATATAATAAATAATAATAATATAATAAATCTATAGTACAGGCACACAATATATTCTGTGGTACAGGTGGTGTCGCACGGCCGCATGGAAACGGTTCAATCTCTTTTCTATGTATGATCTATTGATCTATACTTTGTACTTTGTAGAGAATAGAGATGGGCAAAATATTTTGAATATCGATGCATCGACATTTGAAACACCGATTGTTTAGATGTGTTAGGAAAAAACTTCAATATTTTTCGATTTTTAATAAAAAAAAATTGTTTAATTCAATCATGGGTAAAACAATTTATTTTTCTCATGCATCAATACATGGACCTTACTTAGTATTTACTATTTACCATGATAAATTAGATAATATTATAATCTAATATTTTGTCATGGTATGTACTATGTACTATGTTTCAAATTAAATATATAATTTAAAATATAAATTTAAAAAAAAAAAATGGTAAAATATGAAAATATGAAAAAAACATCGATACTTTCTTCGATACATCGAAGACTAAAAATCGATGTAAAACATCGATGTTTTTTGACCACCTCTAAATTATTCAGCTGTATTAGTCTGTACTCTCTACTCTGTACTACGACTACCAGTACTACTGTGGTACTATACTTCTCAGTTTCTCACTAGTCACTAGTCAGTAGTCTCACTCATTACTCAGTTGTCACTCGAGGATTCAGACCATCGACGATAGTTATATAGTCAGTACTATTCGTCTGCTACGGTTGTTTTGTTATCGCTCATTTGTTCATCCCAACACTCGTGAATATCCATTGCACGCGGTCGGTTTCAACAACACTGAAATATGGAGGTAAGAAAATTTAGTTCGTTTTCTCGTCAAGGAATTGTGGTAGTTTGTCGTTTTGACTGACTCCAATATACCGGTCTACCAAGTACCAATAAAGCAGATATTATAGGTCAGGGATGGCAAATCCATTTATCCATGGCAAGCGAAAACATTTTGTGGCACACGAAAATTTTTATTATTATATATTATATAATATAGGTAATAGATAAAAAGATTTATAGCATACCGCTTTTATCGGTCATTAACGATTATTCAATTTTATCTGTAGATAAATATTATTATAATTATTATTATTATTTATTATAGGTATATTATATATTATTTTCATTATGTACCTAATCTAACCTTTTTATACTAATACATTAATTATTCAATCAAATTCTAATATAATACTATATATACTTTATATATTTTTCATGGCACGCTCTAAAAGAAAAACAGATAATTTTGGCCCCGCAGTGTTTAAAACGTTTGCCATCCCTGTTATACCTAGGTGGTTGAGCAATGAGCTCTTAAAAAAAAATTTAAGCGTGAGTAAAAAATCAGCTTAAATTGCTGGAGGTTATATTACTTGAATAAATACTGGAGACCTTCAAGCCTTCTTCTCCCATTATTTTCTCTGCTCCACAACCCCCAAACTAAGATAACATTGGTAAATGGTTCTACACCGATGGGTTAAACATATCTTGAATTTTAGTTTTTTGTGACTAAAATTGCGTTTAAAGCTTTGAGGTAATAGCGGGGGTAATAGGCATGTGTTATTCTATAACAAGTTCTGAGACCCTGAGGGTACTTGATATCTTTAGTCTATCCGATTACATATATTTTATACTTGTGTGCATAAGGCATAACATAGATCCGGTGTGTATATTATGGTCAGTATGTGGCAGAGTTGACATTCGAGATAATTACGTTAAAAGTTTTTGTTTACGAGTACCTACAAATAATACTTGATTTACATCCGAATAATATGACTTCTAGTCCAGATCACCTTGTGCCCTCTGTACATGTTAACCCTGAAATATTCATCATATCTCTTGGACACAAAACTTGTTTAACATCTTCCAGAATATTATTTATGTATACAGTGTATCATTGTATCATTTTTGAAAAGTAAAATCTACTCGAAATACATGTACTTAATTATTTAAATGTTTACCTTGGGTATCTATTAGCTTGGGTATTGGTTAATTATTATTTATTTTATATGAATAGACCCTTATAAATTATGTAAACTGGTTTTATTTACACCCAAGTACTAATTTAAATATTATACACTTGATAAACTTAGCTTAGGTATTTGTAAATTTTTACAAAACCCATCTGTGGAGTCCAAAAGAACTGGCTATGCTGTCGTGAACATTTTGGATAATCAGTTTTCTGACAAATTCATACAATTTACAATTAATGTAACCTATCGACTATTGCAAGTGTTAGATTTTATAACCTAGCTTTTCGATGAAATATTATAACAAATGAATATTCTTTTAATGTGTGGAATGCAAATTATCATTATTATTATTCAATTAATTGCATTGCTGCTTTACATTAAATTGACTGTTTATTTGAATACCTAATAAAAATCAGAGATCATTAAGAAAAGATTTGTCCCTATCTAAATTTAATTTATAGGAGATAATACAATATAATATTTAATTATTATATATTTAAATTTTACTAATTATTTATTAAGTTAGCTAATTGAATTTATTAATTATTCATTAAAAAATTAGATTTGTAATTTTTGACCCCGCTCACCCAAGTTTATCTACCAACATGCATTATCACATAGCATGTTGAATTTTATTTTTATCGAGAGCATTTGTTTATCAAGTTTCAACACTGCCTATTTAAAATTGTTAGGGGTCAATATTTTTTTTGTTATATCCGGAAAAAATACTATTTTTAAATTAAAATGTTTATTTAATGTTTAAGAAGAAATTGTGACTTACTCAATAAGTTTGTGTAGGGCCTTAAAAGATAATTGGACACTTAAAAATGATACCTTATAGCAAATAGCAATATAGGTACTATTTAAATGTCATCACTATAGTTAACTACAGTATTTTTGTATTTTTATTTCAAATGAACACAATAATTTAAATGTGTTTCTTCAAAATATATTGTAATGCATATAAACCGACTAATAGCCACGTTAGCTTGCTGTTTCTCTTTATACCACGACTACCAATGTACTTTACAAATACTCATATGAGCGATAAACACCAGTGACAGATGGTTTTGTACATTTATGACTTTTTCTAGTAATAAATGACTTCTTGTAGTATTAGGTAATATAATAAATTATAGAATTACAATCCAATAATATTAACCTAGCCACTTTATGTTAATGTTGTAATTGAGAATAATAGTTTATACTATGTAGGTACCTAACCTGCATAGTATTAAAATACAATTTTGCTATAAGTATATGGTTGTCTATTTTTGTAACTTCTAAGTAAACTTTTTATTTTTTTAGATTGAAATTGTAACAACAACGGACAAGAATATTGGAAAAATTAAAGTAAGAATTTTTATTAATAATATTTCATTTATATTATGTATTTCTGTACCAAAGTGTAATTTATGTCGATGAGATATAGAAATGCCATTGCTCTCTATTTATGTACCTACCTAACTTATTTACTTAATAGTGAAGAATTCGGTGATTTTTTTGAATCTATCATGGTATGTTTCTGATATGTTTTTAAAATCTTATGTTAGGTATCATATTTTTTTTTTACATTTCTTAGTCAATTGTCATAAATATGTTTTGTATTTGTTTGTTGTCAGGGTTGAATCTAGGAATAAAATAAAAAGGGAGACTGTACACAAATTATGTACCTATATGTTTATGTTATATAAGTACAAATTAAATATATTATATTATACACTCATAGTTTTAAAAGTCATAAACCAAAAGCATAAAAAATTATTAGATTATTATAAGGTTTGATTGATTTAACATTTAACTATTTTAATATATAACATATTTTTATAAATAAACTAATAAATGAGAAATTTTTCTCTGAAATAATATTTAAGTGAAGGCTTCAGCCAGCCCTCTACTACTCATTGTATCAGCCCCTGTTATTGTGCAAGTATAAAAAAAAAATGTAATCGATTGCTATGAAATCTGTAAATTTTTAGTATTTATATTATAGTTATTACTATTATAAGGAATGCCATACTGCATAAGAAAGATAAAAATATGTAATAACTAATAATGTTGTTATAACTTAAACTGTAAAAAAAATAACTAAATAAGTAATAAATAGCCCAATAAATGTTGTTTTGTTTTGTTTTCATAATTTATTTATCAGGTAGATATTTAAAGTTCAGTTAAATTGCATACTCATTGTTGGATTTACATTCAGATTCAAATTAATAATTATTAATGAAAAAAAAAATGTTTTATCTTATATTTTCTTACTTTAGTATTTGAAATTATTATTTTGGAATTGATTAAATTCTTTACAAAGCTTGTTCATTAATATTCAAATGAAAAATGTTATTCCATGTCCTTGAAAAATGTCTTGTAATTTATTCAGTGTGACTACTTGAGTTGACATTACTATAAGTAATATTTCACTAAACAATAATTTATAAAGTATACAATATCTACAAGTACTTATCAATTATGAATGATTAATACATTTCTAAAAATTCAAAATCACATTGATTATCATCCATTAGGTATAGTTTTTTTTATTTAAATATCAGTAATTTTACAATAAAGTACCTACACTTGTTAAAAGACTAAATTCATTAACAAAAGTGAAGAATAAATATAATTTTTAATCTACAATCAAAGTTCTTTAGATTACATTTTTAAAACCCAAATTTCAATTTTTAATTTTAGTGGTTTTATTTCATACCCATTTTTGGAACTAAATAAAATATATGAAAATGGATTTTTATATAAGTAATAAATTCCCAAATTTAAGCTTGATGTAAAAGTTTTTTAGGCATTTTTTTCTTAGTTTTCTTGAAAACCATCTAAACTTAAGGAAGTTAATTTGTTAACATTATTGAACACAAGATAATTTTATTTCTAATTACAATTAATAAGGATAACAATTTAGTTATTATTAGTTAAATTTAAGGTCAAAATGTAATATAATAATAATACTCATAGTGATATACTACAATATATTATATTACCCTATTACTATTAACATTAGTAGTTATATTATATATATATATATATTTGTTTTATTATATAAGAACATGTTCTTTGATCCAACAAAAAGTGGGCTTGTTGTTTAGATGATAATATTGTTCTGTTTTTGAATTGCTTGAAGAAGTTGATTTATGGTATTTGAATGTAAGGTTTGAATGGAAAAACTTGAAATCCGTGTGGAGTGAAGTTTATTCTTAAAATGTTTCTTGGAAATTTGGAACACTTGTATTTTATTTATGTGTTTTGCCACAGTTACTCTAAATGGGTGCTGCATAATGTAATAAGTTACAAAAGAATTATTTGTTAAGAAGAAGAGAATAACTAAGAGAGGTTCACCAATTAACTAACTGCTATCATGCCATTTAAACTATCGCAAAATGTGTTCAACTGAAGACTGGTCTACCGTAAAATTAAGAAAATTTTAATTTATACTTGTGTGGACTCAAATCATCCCACCATTTATCTTACTAAATTTTAAAAATGAAATTATGTAGGTATAAATATTTTAAAATCAAAGTTATTTATAGGTATTAATTAAAAACATAATAATATTATTATATTTGTATAGTGCACAAAGCATGATACCAATTTTAAATTTCTGATAACTTGATGGAATTTAAAAAAAAATGCATGGGTTCTAAGTTAATGTTTATCTATAATAAAGGTGTTTAATGCTTGTCGACGAAAAGATATTATCTTTATAACATTTTAAATATTTTGTACTTTTTCAGGTTACAGATGCTTCTCAAGTTAGTGATATTAAGAAAAGCATCAGCAAAGTAAAGTCTGCTTTATATCCAGACAGACAATCTATCAGACTTGAAGCTAGAGGAAAAAGTTTAAAGGATACTGACAAAGTTAAAGATTTAGGTAGGTACTAACCTAGTATGGAAAAGTTAAATGCAGATAAAGAAGTAACAAATTGTATTAATAGGTACTTACTTTTTTTTCTAGGATTAAAAAATGGATCAAAACTTTATGTTAAAGACTTGGGCCCTCAAATTGGATGGTCTACTGTATTTATGGCCGAATATGCTGGTCCTATATTTGTATATTTAATATTTTATGCACGATCCAGTCTGTTGTATGGGGCAACAGCTAATCAAAAAATGTCACAAGTGGCTGAGTAAGTCCTTATATTTAATAGTAAGGCAACTATATAAATTATCAGGTTGTCCTAACAAGTTAAATTATTTTTGTATATATGTTATTTAGGTATTTATTAGATAGATACCAGAAATGATAAAAACAGTGTTGTACAAGTTATATTATAGCTAGTGTCAATTTATCGTAATGTAGGGGTGCCCACTAGGATTTTATTTCTTAAATTGTTTGCTTGATAAGAACTTTCCTTACCTCAATATTAATATTTGGTCACCTCTGCTTACTGTATAGGTTAATTTCCTTAAGTATTTATTTACCTTATCAGTTATCACTAACAGATAATCTAATAATAATTGTATGTTAACAGAACTTTTAATCGACTATCAGTAATATATCATTAAATTATTGTACAATTTTGTAGCAAATATAGTAATAAATAATTATGTACGCATGGATTTTATGTGACGTATAATAAGTTTTTAAAAACCTAAAACTTAGTATTTAAACCTGACTTTTTTTATTATCAAAGAAATAGCTTAACATCAAAAATTTGTTCTTTTCCAAGAACATATTATGTAAATGTAATTCCTATTCTTATAATTCTAATTCTTATTTTTGTTTTTTTAGAGTTGCTGCTTACTGTTGGTCATTCCATTATGCAAAGCGTGTGCTTGAAACACTGTTTGTACATCGTTTCTCTCACAACACTATGCCAATAATGAATCTGTTTAAAAACTGTACGTACTACTGGGGCTTCACTGCTTTTGTTTCATACTTTGTTAACCATCCATTGTATACTCCACCATGTACAATTCAATTTTACATTGGTCTTGGTACTTTTATCGTAAGTATTGAAATTAAATTAAAATTGTAGTGTCATGTTAATAATGAAATTAACTTTTTATACAATGTTACAGTTTTGTGAATTAGGAAACTTAAGCATTCACATTGCATTGAGAAATCTTCGTCCACCTGGTACTAAAGTCAGGCGTATACCAGTTCCCACTACAAATCCTTTTACACTTCTTTTTAACTTTGTTTCTTGCCCTAACTACACTTATGAGGTTGGTAGTTGGATTGGATTTACCATAATGACATCTTCATTTTCAGGTAAGTATTTAATATTACATTATTGATAAATAATAATTTGTATGTAATTTGTTTAGCTGGATTATTCGCTTTCGCTGGATTTTACCAAATGGCTGTATGGGCTCTTGGCAAACACAGGAATTACAAAAAAGAATTCTCTGACTACCCGAAATGTAGAAAGTCAATCATACCATTTTTACTTTAAATTGTACTAAGTGTTTTAAATAAGTTTTTTTGTGACTGAATATGGTGGGTGTATTTTTTTTTATAAGTTTTTCAGTTTGTATCTTGTGGATATTGTATTAGTATATTATGTTTAAAATTTACTGTTGTACATTTTACAACTTTTAATTAAAATACAAATAATTGATCAAATTGTATATGAATATTTGTAAATTTGATGTAATAAATTTACAGCCACTTTTATTTCATATAATAATATATATTATTCTTCAAGTCATATTGTATACTTAGATGAATATTATTTCTCTATTTCGTTTTTAATATTATACTTATTGGTAAGGTTTGCTTATCGCCAGTAAATCTGGTTGGACTCACAAAATATAATTTAACTATCACTTAACTGGTCACCTGTGGAGTTGTTTAGATTGGGACGAAAATGTTATGTGTGAACGTTATTATAAATTACATTTTTATATGTGAAAAGTATACAGGTGTAACAGGAAGACGAAAAAAAAATAATTCTAACATACTACAAAAATTGTGAAAAAAGTTGTTACGTTCTAAATTAATTTACTATAAAAAATACTGATGTTTTAAAAAAATGCTAAAAAATAAACTACTTGACTTAGATAAATGTTTTTTGCATTAAATTTATTCTTATTATCAGATTTAGAAATTGGCTATTTTTTTATTTTCAGTGCTAAAAATTAAAAGTAATAAAATCATTTTTTTTTTATTTACTATACGTGTAATGAAAGTGACTAAACAAATACAAATATATATTAAAAAAAAGTTTAAAAAAGGGGATAAGTTTATGTCGATCTGCTATACAGTAGGTTACAATTGGGTCAATGTATAAAGGATTGTATTAAACTTGAATTCAATGATATAATATTATTGTGTAAGAAAAACATTTCTGAGCGGAGCCGTTTTGTCAGTCTGGATATTGCTATTATTTATTATATCCTTTAGTGGTTTTTTGTTATTTGTCGGTGGTTTTTCCTGTGCAGTTAAATAAATATTGATAAAATTGAAAAATTACCTGTCTAAAGTACCTTCTTGATCAAACTTGCTAAAAGATATGGTACTATACGTTGAAATCGAAGCACTCCTTCTGGTAGATATTTTGTATACAGGATATATAAAAAAAAATAAACAAATAAATAAACACCATTGTAAAACCAATGGCTTCCTCACTCCACTCAGAATCCAATATTGATTAGAACAAAAGTTATTTCCTCTGTCAGGTCTTCCTGTATATTCTAACTTTTAAAGAAAATATTATTGACAATAAAATTAGGTATGTCAAAATATTGTTCAAATTTATCATATTTAATTGAACATAAAAACATAATTTTACATAATTAATTTTAGAAATATATATTAATATGATCGTTATAACGCATTAATGTAGATAATGGAGACTGTTAAGAGGACGCTACACATGTATAAATTCGTCCGTCAAAACCGTTTCGCGCGGGAAAGAACCGAGAAGGCTACAGTCATAACTAAGAAACGAAATTTTCACCACATAATAAGGAGAACATTTACTGTGCAACGTTGTTTTTAATTTTTCGATATCACAAATACAAAAAAAGTTCTTATTGTTTCAAAATTCATTATTTTTGCGTTTTTCAAACTCGAATAACTTTTTTTTCAGTTCTGATATCAAAAAAATAAAAACAACGTTGCACAGTAAATGTTCTCCTTATTATGTGGTGAAAATTTCGTTTCTTAGTTATGAATGTAGCCTTCTCGGTTCTTTCCCGCGCGAAATAGTTTTTACGTAAAGATTTCAATTTTATCGAATATTTATGGCTGTAATGTGCTGCAGCCTACGGTCGTTGCGACAACGACTACAATATCCCCCACTACAGTGAAATTATATTTGCCCATATCTGAGCCGCGTCGCGCGCTTTGGTCACAGCGCCCGTAATAATAACATTATTCCAGAAATAGGTTCGATATTATGTAATTGTACCTATCTATAGCTATAATTGTATAATAGTATATGTATACTAATTTAAAAATATAAAATATGTGTTACCAAATTACTGTTTCGCTAAATGCTAGTTATGCTTCAAGCTTTCAACAGTCAACGACTAACGTTGTTTTTTATTTTGTGACTGTGTTATTTATTAAAATGTCACCAAAAAAATTTCGTGCAAAAAAAAGGGCTGTTGGAAAAAAAGGTTTACGTAAATTGTTAAATAATTTAAAAAATAAAAAATAGTAAGTAATTTTTAATATTTTATAATTGAACTTAACTTTATCTAAAACGTTATTTTTATAACTATTAATTTTATAAAATATTAAAATGTATGCAATTTAATATTATCATGTGAAGTAAAATATTTATTAAAAAATAAATTGTTGAATATAAACTCAAAATTCTTAACCAAATTCTGGAATTTAGAAGTTGGAACTTGTTATGTAACACATGAGCCATGAGGTTCCTCATAAGTAGGGCATGGGTTTGAATGCTGATATCAAAAAAATCAACATCAAATATATTCCCTTTCAAAAAATGCATTTATGACCAAAATAATCTAAAAAATTCCATACAAACATCAAAAAAATATTCTTTTAAAAAATCCTTTTAACATTATAGCCCCCCCCCCACCAATTTTATTTTATTTTTTATAATTTTCGAAGAAGTGTTAGTGAAATACCTACTGAAACTGTTCAATCAACAATTTCAACCCGGCGGCCTGTCCATTTTTTTCAAGTTTTAAATACTTTCTTAATATTTAATGGAGTTCTAAATTTTGATTAGTCGATCTGCATTTATAAATAATTACTATATCAACTATTATACTGGCTAGTGGCTACTGCACTTTATGCAGTGCTGCAAATCTGCAATACATGTTTTGTAATAAACATTATATTGAAAATAAAAATTACTAAAAAATGAAAATCACTATTTACTAATTGTATGTTTATATAGTAATATAGACATAACATTGGATACAGAATGCAGTGAATTTGCAGAGTAAGTATAACTGTATAAGTATAAGTTAAATTAGTCTATAATAGGTAATAAATATTCCTATATTTTCTATATTTAATTATTTCTTTATTTTATAAATTATTTGCCATGTGCGTACCTATCTGACTTATTATTATAGAAGAAGTTTAAACGTATCGTCAATAAGTATAGATTCAAATTCAATAAACAACCAAGAATCATGTTCTTTAAATCGGTGAGTTTATAGTGAATGATACAATAATTATTATGGTATTTGTGGTCTTAGTATGATTAACATTGTTTAACAATTGTAATAATAAATAAATATACGAATATACTTACATATCATTATCTTATACTATACTAACAGAGATGATCTCAACCTGCCTTGCAGTATTGATACTACACCTACAGAAGATAGTTTATCGTCTGTATTTACAACCATAACTGAGTAAGTATTTACAAAAAAATGAAAAATAAATAAAAGTGGACATAATAATAAAATATATTATATTAATACACCTAATATTGTAGAGAAATTTCTGACCATAACTTGAGTGTCATTTATACTGAATCTGAAGATGGTGTATCATCTGAAAATACTACAACTACTGAGTAAGCGTACAAACAAACAAAAATGTTTTGAATTACGATCGACTTTTAATAATTTATTAAAGTAACATTTTTATAGAACTTCATATTAAATTTTCAAATCGTAGATATAAATATTAAAAATCTTATGCATTTTTAAGAGGACGCTATACCCGCATGTGTTGTCTCCGTCTTACAAATGTACAACATATCAAAAACTATTTTGCGCGGGAAAGAACCGAGAAGGCTACAGTCATAACTAAGAAACGAAATTTTCACCACATAAAAACAAGAACTATGGCTGTGCAACGTTGTTTTTATTTTTTTGAAATCACTTATATGAAAAAAGTTCTTACTGTTTAAAAAACCGTTATTGTTTGTCATTTGTAAGACGGAGACAACGCATGCGGGTAATAATTTGCACATTTTCGTGGTTTTCTACATTTTTGAAAGACTGGATGAACGTGGAATCTTGTATTCAATTTTCAAGTATTTTGATGAATAGAAATTTTTTTATCTTTATTTATATTAGAATATTAATATCAATAGACATTAAAAAAGAAAACATAAAAAAAAAATAGAAAGTTATGGGAAAATTATTTTGTAGTTAAAAATTCTTAAAATGTTTAATATTCATATCCAAGACACTAGACAGTTGTAATACAATTCGAAAATGTAATACTAAGTTCCTCATCATTAGTATATTAGGTTAAAACATTGTATATCTACCTACTGTATCTGAAAATGATTATATGTATTTCTTTACACTTTTATAGTGTTCTGTTTGGTCGTCGAATCGTGGATATAAAGTTTGTATTTGATCAAATATTGGCCAGTAACAACAAAAATCATATAAAAGGATTTGATTGTTCTTTTATTAACTCTGAATTGATTAAAGAAACACGTAAAGGATTTCATTGCTCATGGTTTTTTAAATGTAAAATGTGTAACATAGAAACAATAATTCAATCAGATATCGACGACAAAAACAAAATACCAATTAATAAAGCAGTGGCAAATGCATCTATTGCAGTTGGAATTGGCTATAGCCAAGTCAATGAGTTTTCGGCTTCTATTGATGTTCCATGTATGACTAACGCATCGTTTATAAATAATTGTAATAAAATTGCTGAAGTTGTCAACGAAAGTGCTTGGGAACAAATGAGACTGGCTGGTTTGGAAGAAAAAAAATTAGCTTTAGAACGAAACGATGTTGATACCGATGGTATTCCAATGTGTTCTGTAGTGGCAGATGGACAGTGGGGGAAAAGGAGCTATAAAACAAAATATGATTCATTATCGGGAGCGGTAATTTTTATTTTTTGGACTTCAATAATGTTTATATGCCAGGGGCGTCATTTCAATTTTAGATTCTGAGCGTAGCGATGAATGTTTTGTTTTTACAATGATGTGTGGTTTTTTTTTGTGTCTGTCATCACCTTTTATATTGTTTCAAAGGCAAA